ACACACACACACACACACACACACACACACAAAGCAACTTCCTGTAGAGTTACTGGAACCACACTCCTTGAATTAAGGCAAATGGCTGAGGAAGTCACTTTACTTAGTCCTGCCTCAGTTTGGCCAACAGGAACAAGGTAATACTACTTCTGGCAACAGTGCAGACTAAACGGGGTAATGCCATAAATTGTTTATAATAATAATCTTTCTCATATACAAACTGGTTAGTACCATATAGTCCATTTTAAGATGAGGAAACATATCCAGGCAAATAGCTTATCCAGGGTTGCAACAAATGACAGAGCCTGGATTTGACGCCCCCCCCGTCCTTCCCTTCCCCCCCCGCCCCCCTTTTCTGGAGTCCTGGTCAGTCCCGCGTCCTCCATGCTGTAATCAGTAATGCTCCTGGTCAGCGTGAAATCACGAGGTTTCATGTTTCGTAAGAGTTTCTGAAGAGTGGATTCCACTTGTATAATACACATCACTTTTGTAGCCAAGACAGTCCCCTCTGTAACTCTGCTCACAGTTTAAAACAATCCCAAGGTTTTACCAGCAAGGAAAAATGAAAGCCACAAACTTTGCACCTGTGGTGCTTCGGGTTGGCCCAGGCCAGAGCTTCTGGCCCGCATGCGGTCCGCAAGCGGGCGGCCACCGAGCAGACCGCACAGGGGGTCAGCTTACCCGGGGAGGGACGCCCTCTTAGCCAGGTGCCCGAATCCCAGCTCCGTCCTCCTCCAGCGGTCCTCCCTCTGCAGCCCCGCAGCCCGTCTCCTCGGAGGGAGGTAGGACAAGGACCAGGGTGGGAGCCATTCGCCCGCAGCCAATCAGAGCTCGGGAAACTGGAGCTCCCAAAGCCACGTCCCATAACCTCCCCAAGTAGCCAATCAGACCTCGGCACACGAGCTACGTAACCCTTACGCAGCGCGGGGGCGGAACTGAAACGCGGAGGCTGGCGGGCGTGGGAATCCGTTTTCAGCCGACGGACCTGGCGCCGGCAGCGCCCGCGCCTGACGTCTTCCACCCTCCCTTCCCAGCAGTTTAAATTCCAGGCGCTTTGCCCCCACACAATGTCATAACCCAGAAGTTAAAAAAAGAAGGAATAATTCAGAAACTTTGTATTTTATTATTTTTGCTAGGCCTGGGGCCTGGACTCAGGGCCTGGGCGCTGTCCCTCAGCTTCTTTTGCTCAAGGCTAGCACTCTACCTCTTGAGCCACAGCGCCACTTCTGGCTTTCTGTTTATGTGGTCCTGAGGAATCGAACCCAGGGCTTCCTGCATGCTAGGCAAGCACTCTACCACTGAGCCATTTTTGCAGCCCAGAAACTATTTTTAAACAATTGTCAAAATAATTTTCTTTAAACACCTAAAGCTTCCTTGAAATCTAAGCTCTCCACAGCCACTTCCGACCCTGCTCTATCCCAGCAGCCATCCTAAAAGCCATTCATCCATTCATTCATTTCCCTCTATGTTCAAATACTTGTTTTTCTCATCACTTGCCAAATGGTTTACATTCTAATTGTGTGTTGATTCCCAACCTTACAAACCAAACCAAACATTTCTCCTTAAAGACAAGAGCTGTCACTTATTCTTGTATTTAGCCACCTAAACTACTTACATTCATGCCATACCTGCTAAGGGCCAATTCGTGAAACTGCAATGAGACTGTGGTGGTGGGAAAGGTAAGCAAAATAACATAACCTCCTGTCCTAATTGAAGATAAAGACGATACCTAGATGATCGCAATCACAATTAAGTGCTGCCAAAGTCCTGCGTGTTCTGTGTGCATGGACTTCTTTCTCAAGCTGGTGGTCTCTTCGGCCTTGTGTTCCCAAGTCTACTGAAATCTTAATAAAGCCCTCTCACGTAACAATGCTCGATAGGAAATGGACTCATTACCTTGCTCATGTAACTGTAAACCCCTCTGCAGAGTATCTTTCCAATAAAAATATATTAAAAAAGAAATGCAAATAAAGAAATATTGCCCTCTCCTCCAGGAGTGAACATTACTTTTCTGTAAGCATGCTTGGCATACACTTAGCTACTTAGGAATTGTCAATAAAATCTGAGCCTAGCCTTAGAAAGCAGGTTATGTTCAACAGGCTTTGTTTAGAGGAACTGACATTTGCACTTTAGCCTCACTGAGTGGAGCCAGAGTTCTGGCTCCTTATCTCCAAACCAACTTGATATCCAGATACTGTGGATTAACGTAACAGCTAGTATAGAAAATTGGCAGGAATGCATGTTCAGCAACGGGTCTACTTCAAAGTTACTAGCACTAAACTACTCTTATTGTATGTGAACTTACTGCAAACCTTTTCTTGAAACGAAAGAATTTGGAGTCCTAACTAAAACTTGCAATTAGAAAGAGAGAATTAAAGTAGGAAGGCATATTAAAGTAAAAAGGAATATGAACTCAGAATTAAAGTAAGAAGGAATATGAACTCAGAGCTTAAAAACTACGTTGCAATAACTGGCCAGACATATTCACCAAGGTACTGGAAGCTTGCACTCAGTTCCATACTATTGTATGAGAAATAAGAATATATTTATGAACCTCTATTCTAATCAGTACTTGAATTTGACTGACTCAGCTGCACTAACTGTATAAAATAAATGCTACCCAGACTTTATTTCAAGTACCATAACAGTACCTTTCCAAGGCTATATAATGAGGGGGGGGAAAAACCAACAACCCTTACAGAGTTGGGCACCAGTGGCTCAGGCCTGTAATCCTTGCTACTTAGGAGGCTAAGATTTGGAGAAGTAATGTTAAAGGTCAGTCCGGATGGAAAAGACTATGCAATTCCATCTCCAATTAACCAGCAAAATATTGGACTGAAAGTGTGGCTCAGGTGGTAAAGTGCCAATGAAGCAGGCAATCTGAGAGTTTGAGGCCCTGAATTCAAACCCTGGTGCCACCAATAAACCAAACCAACAAAACAAAATGAAAGGGCTGACTCAGTGGTAGAGTGCTTGCCTTGCATGCATGAGGCCCTGGGTTTGATTCCTCAGCACGACATACGCGGAAAATGCAGGAAGTGGTGCTGTGGCTCCAGTGGCAGAGCGCTAGCCTTGAGCTGAAGAGCTGAGGGACAGCGCCTAGGCCCAGAGTTCAGGCCCCATGACCAACAACAAGAAAATAAAGGAAAGGGAAAGGGAAGAAAAAAACAATAGGGAGATGAGACAGATTACTATTATATGCATTTTCAACAAAATGAGACATGTTCAAGTTGTAAAAATATCTTGACATTTCTATTACATGAGAGATTCTTTAAAATGTTTTGTGCATTTCAAATTTACTATTTTTCTATTATTTATACTTAATGCTGAAATAAATATGAATATACAGATGTCTTTCTGCTTTATTGATTTACTGTCATCCAGAGATATGTTCAATAGTGGTATGGCAGAGGTATAGGGAAGGTATATTTTTAATGTTCCGAGGAACCTCCATACTGATTTCCATTGTGGTTGCATCAGTTTGTATTCCTGCTAAAAGTATATGAGGGTTCCTTGTTCCAGCATCCTCACCAGCATTTGCTGTTTTCATGATAGCTGCCATCATGAGTGGAGCAAGATGGACTCTTTAGTGTAGTTTTGATTTGCATTTCCTTTTGGCTACGGATGTTGAAAATGCCTTTGGCTAAGGATGTTGAAAATGTCTTCATGTATCTACTAGTGATTTGGATTTCTTCCTATGAAAACTATTCAGTTTCCTTGCCTATTTATTAACTGGATTATTTGTTCTCTTGCTGTTTAATGTTTTGAGTTCTTTGTATATTGTGAATACTAACCATTTATCTGTTGGACAGCTGACAAAGATTTTCTCCCATTTTGTGGACAAACTTACTAATTTAAGCAAACATGAATAGCATAAGGACGCTGTAGGTTCATTCAGAAGCTGGATGTCCTCAACTAAATGTTTAAGTTGTCAGCACAGTATTTTGGTCATAAGAATTCAAGAGGAAGAACAGTATATTTCAGTGTAACCAAGGCACAGCAGCTCCTCCTTCAGTGACTCATTTTAGCCACAATTTAGACCAGAACTGAAAATGCTTTATGAAAAAGCTCTTCAAAGATATAAATCACCCACATGGTATCACAGTATTTATACTGAAACACTGTTCTTTTGCTGACATGCATTAAATGGAATCTTTTCCCTCTGGGTGGTGATGATGAATGGTAGATCTAGCACTTTCCTGGTTTTGCATAGTGCTCTGCAGAGTGGGATGTGAAGAACTCCACTTTTTAACTAGTATTAAAAGGTAAGGCAGTGGCTTTGTTTATTCTTTTCTCAGTCATGGAATGTACTGATGACCATAGTGTATAATAATTACTGATGATGGGAAAATAAACAGTCACTGGTTATAATTCACAAGAACTTGCCTACAGGAGAACAGTCAATGGAAAACAATAGTAGTAACAGTACTGGCAGCTCAGCATGAACTAGCTATCAAATACCGCTGTATATGCTGTGTACTGTACAATCCGGGGGCTATGCATCCCTTACAGCTAATATTTACTGAGCTCTGTACCACGTGCTAGACACTGTTAATGAGCACTTTACATGGACTGGAACTATGAAACAGATGCTACTCTCACCCTCATTTCACCGTGACAGAAAGGTGGCTAGAAGGTTAAGGTCCAAGATCACAAAGCTACTAAGTGGCAGAGCCAACCAGTGACTTCAGAACCAACCCTTTCATTTTTTCTTTACTGATGCCTGGGTTTTAACTCAGGACCTTGTACTCTCAACTGCTTTTTGCTGCTCATAGCTAATACTCTATACCACTTAAGCCATGCCACCGATCTGGCATTTTGCCGGTTACTTGGAGAAAGAATGGTATCTGACTTTTTTTCCCCTGGCCTGGGCTGGCTTCAAAACCAGACCTTCACTTCTCTCCTTAGGAACTAGGATTACAGGTATGAACCATCAGCAATCTCGAGGAACCCACACTCCTAACTGTTGTCCCATACAGCCTTAGAGTAGCAAAACCCATTATGTAAAAAATGGCTTTTAAACATTTTAAATGTTTCTTGCAGATGATTTTGAAAATATCACTTTATTAAATGTATATGGTACCCATTCATTTATTCACTCATTCATTCAAATGGTAGTAACGCTCTCTTACCAAACACAAACAAAAAAAGAAAATGCACAAAATACACAAGATTCTATATTTGCATATACTTTAATAACAAAGTCATTTTAGTTATAAATGAACAAAGAGGAGAAAGAGAACACATGATTTTCCCAGAAGTTTGGGCCAAGACAGGCACAGGCATACATGAAGCTTTAAAACATAGAATGGACAAGTTAAAAGAGGCAACACTACTAATTTTGATTACACACATTTTCTAAAACATGGTTATCAAAGAGCGTGACATTAGATCAAACAACAATGTTAAGAAAATTTTGTCCTAGGATTTTAACAAAGTTTTTTTTAAGAAAGTCTAAAAACCTCCTTCTTTCCCAAACTGACTCTTCCAACTTTGAATTTTATGTCAGAATACCAGTTTTCATTTTTAACTTTTACCATACATGAAAATTTATCAAAAATATACTGATGGGTATCTACTAATTATGACTATATTTACATTAAGCAAATTATTTTGCCAAGTTCTTTATATACAAATTATCATTTGTCCTACATGAAATTCATTAAAAAGTTGAAACCACAGAAATGGCATTAGAAATAATGCATTTGAAATGTAACTGCTTTCCATCAATGAAGAACATTTTTAAATAATTCAATGAAAAGTATTGAATTTCCCACCAATTTCAGCTGCAACAGTATTCCTCCTGAATGTTTTCTGTGATTTAAGGGAAAGAAAACTGAGTAAAGATTGATTACAATGAATTAAATAATAAATTTGATGAGTGTTTATTGAACTTAGCTTCAAGAAATTTATAGTCTGATTAGGTTAGTATAAAAGTTAAGCACTAAAAACATAGTTTATGATAATTGAAGAAAGTAAGCCTTCAAAAACTTTTTAGCAAATACACAATATAAATATCCTTCATGTTAATTTAAATCACAAAAATAGCGTAAAATGATAACCCAAAGCCAATTAAACTGGTTTTTGGTATTTCTAAAGAGGGCCAACATTAAAAAAAAAAAAAAAAAGAAGAAGTATGAAGATTCTGGGAGCCAGGCACTGGTAGGCCTGTAACCCAAGCTACTCAGGAGGCTGAGATCTGAGAATCACGTTTCAAAGACAGCCCAGGCAGAAAAGTCCCCATGGAACTATTACAGTCAATTAACTACTCAAGAACAGGAAGCAGCACTGTGATTAAAAGTGATAGAGTGCTAGCCTTGAACAAAGAGCTCAGGGACAGCACTTAGGTCCCGAGTTCAAGCCCCGCAACAGACAATAAAATAAAATAAAGCTGGGCACAGGTGGCTCACACCTGTAATCCTAGCTATCCAGGAGGTTGGTTCAAAGCCAGCCCGGGCAGGAATGTTTGTGAGACTCTTATCTCCAATTAACCACCAGAAAACCAGAAGTGGCTGTGTGGCTCAAGTGGTAGAGCATTCGCCTTGTGCTGAAAAGCTCAGGGACAGTGCCCAGGCTCAGAGTTTAAGCCCCACAACTGACAAAAATAAAAAAACAAAATAAAAATTGGTGGCCTCACAGCAGATACAATAAATTTATAAGTGATGAAAAGGCAAAGATTTGGGGGGAAATAAAAAGAGGACACTTTGTTCTAGACTCATCAACACCTAGGAAAAACTGTCTTTTTCAAAGAAAAAAACTGAATACAAAGCCGTAAGGTTTTCAAACATGTGTATCATTGAGATGAGGGTAGACAGAACGCAGTACTCTCCAGTACAGAGGTCTCTTTCTTTTTCAATAACTAAGTGGATGTATAGAAGTGCTTAAGAACTACTGATTCAGGATTCTTTGGCTTCAAAGTAGAGATTAGCTCTAGTTTGGAAATGATCTTATTTAATTAGACATTGTACTAAGGCAAGAGATAAAGCTCTAAAGTATTTACCTAATTAGTTGGTGCTCTGTCTCTGGACTTTGGGACCAATACTCTGTGAGTCCTCTTCCTGACTAGGGCGTTTCCCACTGCTAAGACCAGTGCCCATCGAGCTTCTTCCTACATGTTTGAGAAGTGTACATTAGGATAAGAAAGGCGCAAAGCACAATGTGCTCAAATGTTGCTCTCTTACCTTGCTTTAACAGATGCATTTGCTGACTGTCTCCATGAGCATAATGTAAAATACCACTCCCTTGAGAACAACCTGCATTTAAAACATAGGAAAACTCTTTAAAATCTAAGATGTCTATCAGGGCTACAAAATCTGAAGCCAGGCACACTGGGATATGCCTTGCAGAACTTGGGAGGCTGGATGGGGCAGATAATCACAAATTGGAGGCCAGTGTGAGCTGACCTTCAGCACAGACACATTGCTCTAACCAAAGATGACAATGCCACAGTCCATCATGATTGACCTGTACCATCAACAGCATCAAACGGGTTTTACACTTGAGAAAATTAATGTAAGGCAGAAGTTTCATTAAAGGACATTGAAAGTAATTCCAGGGAGAGCTGAGTAGACTATTAATGCTGAAATTGTGAATGACATCTGTTCTTCATTTTTCTATCTCTCTGACTGCTGCTGAATTCTCTATAGTGAAAGGATTTTTTTAGAAGCTTTGAAGTATAAGTTTCATACCACAAAAATCAATCTCCATTAAGTATAATTCAGTGACATTATTATTATTATTATTATTTTGGTCATGGGGCTTGAACTTGGGGCCAGGACGCTGTCCCTGAGCTCTTTTGCTCAAGGCTAGGGCTCTACCACTTTGAGCTACCACCACTTCTGGTTTTCTGGTGATTAACTGGAAATAAAAGTGTCATGGACTTTCCTGCCTGGGCAGGCTCTGAACTCTGATCCTCAGATCTCAGCCTTCTGAGTAGCTAGGATGACAGGTGTGAGGAACAGGCATCTTGCTTGCTGTGAACTTTTTGAAGTTAACTATGGTATTGTGCATCCATCACCACAATCCAGTGTTAGGACATTTTCTCAGTCCCCAAAGATCTCTCACGACCGCTTCATTCACTCCTCCTTCTTATTAAATCCTAAGCTCAAAGTAACCACTAATCTTTTTTTTTTTTTTTAAATCTTTAGTGATTTCCCGTTACTGGGCAGTTCACGTAAATGGATTCGTGTAGCCCGTGGTCAGTCATGTCTTTATCAAGTTCACATGCACATCCTACGTACAATATGAGTATTTTTTTTCTTTTGGTGAGAATTGTTTCATGTAATACATTTTGGCTCCTGTAAGTGAAATGGGCATTTGCAAGTCTTTATGTGAACATATGTTCTTGTTCACTTAGGAATAACATTTCTGGGGTATAGTAAAATCATGCATAGCTTTGCCAAACTGATTTTACAAAGTGGTTGAACTGTTTTATTCCCCACCTCTCAACAAAACACCTGTGACTTTTTGCCCCTTTTTACCACATCTGGTTCTTTTATTTCTATCCTAGCCACTCTAGAGGGCAGAGGTAGCAATCTGCTTGTTTGCTTGGTACTTTCCAGGCTAGAGCACTAAAATCTTCAGTGACAGCTGGTCCCTGAGTGGCTGTCAAACATTAGCTCACAAACGTGGGAAATCTGCATTTCCTTAGTGACTAATAATACTGATGAGCAATTTAAAGTAGAAGAAAATTACACTGAAAGTGAAAATGAACACATACTACTACTAGGAAACAGACTGTGGTTGCTTTATTATAAAAACAAGGGGCCAGGCGCTGGTGGCTCATGCCTGTAATCCTAGCTACTCAGGAGGCTGAGATCTGAGGATCGCGGTTCAAAGCCAGCCTGGGCAGGAAAGGCTGTGAGACTCCTATCTCCAATAAACCACTAGAAAACCGGAAGTGGCGCTGTGGCTCAAGTGGTAGAGCACTCACCTTGAGCTGAAGAGCTGAGGGACAGCGCCCAAGCCCAGAGTTCAAGTCCCACGACCGACTAAAAACAAACAAAAAAACCCCCAAAAACCCAAAACAAGAACAAGGGTATCTGTATGGTAGCTTATTACTTTCCTGAGGACATACACACTAAAGTATAAAAGTGAGAAGTAAAAAACTGCAATTTGTGGCTGGGTGCTGGTAGTTCACGCCTGAAATCCTAACTTCTCAGGAAGCTAAGATCTGAGAACTGCAGTTCAAAGCCAGCCCAGACAGGAAAGTCCATGAGAGTCTCAGCTCCATATTAACTACCAAAAAGCCAGAAATGGCACTGTGGCTCAAAATGGTAAAGCACTGAGCACAAAAGCTCAGGGACAACTCCTAGGTCCTTATTTCAAGCCCTAGGACCCAGCACCAAGGGAAAAAAATGCAATTTGTACTGTGAAGAATTTTCTGTAGTCTTTTAAAAATCTGAAAAGCGTCATACAGAATCTTGCCTTGTGATGTGCTCTGTAAAGCACTGTGCAACAAAAGCCCACAGAAAGGCAGGTGGACGGGGAGCCAGATGGGCTGAGGAGGAATGCTTGAGAGCAGTCCCGACTCCAAGGATGTTTCCACAACTATCCCACTTCCAGGTCTAGCGTGTTTCTCCTCCATCTGCCTACCCACATTTCACCTAACCCATCATCTTTTGAAAACACAACTTGAAACTCCTTCCAGTGATCTGTCCTATTACAGCAGAGGCCAGAACCTTCAGATATATCACTGTTTCCATTTGTCTTTGTCACTTTCACTCCCCTAGACTATAATGTCAGAGCGTTTTTTGGCTTCTATGCCTTTAAAAGGCATCTTAAAGCACGAGTAGCTCCAAAGCAAGGATTAAACTATTAATTCTTCCTAATGTTTGTACATTTGTGAGACAAAAGTATCCCGATGTAATCTGCTGCCACAGTTAGCTCTGGAGTTTTCTCTAAATTACGGCTTAATGGGAGTGGACCAGGACGCACATGCATCTCACTGCGGCTACCTAAGTGCTTCACAGAGCTTTGGCCTCTCATTCTCAGCTGTGGCTTGTGAACCAAATAAGAGAGCTGAAAGAACTGGGAGATGATGTATTGTGGGGATTTGCTCCAGATTGTAGAAGACCCTGAGAGAGAACATTTCTCAAGTATACTACCATCACTGGCAACTATTTGCTGAGTGAATCACATTCTAGTAAAGTACAGAGGTCCTATACATGTATATTCTGAGTTCTTACTATACTGTGAACCTTGAGCTTTACAACTGCCTTATAGATGATGTGCATCTCAGGAGAATTTTCTCTTTTTTTTTGCTGGTCATGGGGCCTGAACTCTGGGCCTGGGTCTGGGCGCTGTCACTCAGCTCTTCAGCTCAAGGCTAGCGCTCTACCACTTGCGCCACAACGCTACTTCTGGCTTTTTCCATTTATGTGGTGCTGAGGAATTGAACCCAGGGCCTCATGAATGCAAGGCAAGCACTCTGCCACTGAGCCATCTTCCCAGCCCCAGGAGAATAAAAATTTTGAGTGCCATCTGACAACTTAAAATTCTTCACCCTTCTAGGGGTCAATGCTTGCCCAGCATATGTGAAGTCCAATTTAACCCTCAGCATGGCAAAAATAAAAAGACCTCATTTGGTTTGCAAGACTGCTATCTTGTCCCAATGCCTGCTACATGTAATGATGTTGTCCATCTTTAAAATGTCACCAGTGCGCAGGGGGGTTGGATGTGCGCACACATGAATGTAATATGCAAAGATCCCATTGACACTATTCTTATAATTTTTTTTTTTTTGGGTCC